TCAGGTGGCAACGATGGGACAGGCCTCACCTACCTTACAGGGTTGCTTTGAGGGAATGACCATCTATGCTGCCTGGAGTTCCTTGGAGGAAAAGTAGCTTGTAAATGTAGTACATAAACAAATAATACAGTATTTAAAATCAGTCACTCAGCCAGAGAGGTACCTTGCAATGAAGTTGAAAAGGACAGGGTTTGGAATGCAGCTTTCTCCTCCTAACAGTTCGGATAAAAATGCAAACTAAGTGTTTCATCTAGTGAATTCCTTGAAACCTGCAAGAATTTCCTCATATCCTGATCTGAAGGCATGTCATATGGACCGTGTGATTCACTAATGAAACACCTTTTCCTTTGTAACTTTATTGCTGCTCTAATAATTAATCTTCTGGATGGGTTACATAGCAACAGACAGTAATTTTTATGTTGTTATTGTAAAGCTCATCAGCCAGTGTTATTTTTCTAGGAAAAGAGGTGCCAGAACTCACCATGAACACCTCTGTTGTTCTCTTATAATGGCAATGGCGCCCATTTGAGAGGTGCCAGAACTGAGTTCTGGTGAGTTCTGGCTGGGAAAAAAGCCCTGCTCATCACCCACATTTAGACATTTTGATAAAGTTCTCATAATGCTTCACAGTATAAAATTTCTACCAAAGAGGAAGATATATTGCATTTGCACTTTATCCTTCTGTTCCTTTCTGTAGCATTCCTGTGTGGGTCAGCCTACTCTGCCATATTGGCCACACAGCTGACATCTGCTTACCACTGACACATAAAATGTCTCATTCACCATTTAAGACACAATGCTTGGCTTGACTTTCTAGAACAGGGGTCAGCAAACTTACCGTGCCTCGGGCCGGTGTCTCCAGCGCTGATCGTGCGGCAGGCCAGAGGGCGAGGGAGCGCGTACCCATACGCGTGTGCACACGCTATTTCCGGCGACTTCTGGGTAGGAGGAGCACTAGAAATAGCTTGTGTGCATGTGCATGGGCTTCCTCCGACCCGGATGTGCACCGGAAATAATGCTTGCACATGCGCAAATAACGCTTGCACATGCACATAAGCTATTTCCTTTTTTTAAAAAAATGATATTTATTAAAATTTCAAAGAATACAAGAATTACACAAAAACAAAAAGTAAAAATACAAGAAAATATAACAAAGAAATGAAAAATAAAAAGAAACATACAAAATAAAAACAGTTAAAAACACATTAATTTTCCATAGCATATCTTCCTTACACTTATTTCCCCAGACCTCCTCGTACCTCCCTTTTTTGTATTCCAGTTCAGTTTGTTAGTTCAGCAAATCCTTACCATTAAGCTTTTACCCATTTGTGAACCTTTTTTCATATCTCTTAAAGCATTACAGCTGGAAACCACTTAGTTTCTATCCAACATCCTTCTAGGATTCATTAATTTTACAATATTTCTGTAAATAGTCTTTAAATTTCTTCCAGTCTTCTTTCACCGACTCTTCTCCCTGGTCTCAGATTCTGCCAGTCATTTCTGCCAATTCCATGTAGTCAATCACCTTCATCTGCCATTCTTCCAGAGTGGGTAGATCTTGTGTCTTCCAATACTTTGCAATGAGTATTCTTGCTGCTGTTGTAGCATACATAAAAAAAGTTCTGTCCTTCTTTGGCACCAATTGGCCGACAATGCCCAGAAGAAAGGCCTCTGGTTTCTTCAGGAAGGTATATTTAAATACCTTTTTCAATTCATTATATATCATTTCCCAGAAAGCCTTAATCTTTGGGCACGTCCACCAAAGGTGAAAGAATGTACCTTCAGTTTCTTTACATTTCCAGCATTTATTATCGGGCAAATGATAGATTTTTGCAAGCTTGACTGGGGTCATGTACCACCTGTATATCATTTTCATAATATTCTCTCTTAAGGCATTACATGCCGTAAACTTCATACCTGTGGTCCATAACTGTTCCCAGTCAGCAAACATAATATTATGTCCAACATCTTGTGCCCATTTAATCATAGCAGATTTCACCGTTTCATCCTGAGTATTCCATTTCAACAGCAAGTTATACATTCTTGACAGATTCTTAGTTTTGGGTTCTAGCAGTTCTGTTTCTAATTATGACCTTTCCACCTGGAAGCCAATTTTCTTATCCAAATCATATGCCTCCATTATCTGATAGTAATGAAGCCAATCTCTCACTTTGTTTTTTAGTTTTTCGAAACTCTGCAATCTCAATTTATCTCCTTCTTGTTCCAAAATTTCCCAATATGTCGGCCATTTGGCCTCCATATTAAGCCTTTTCAGAGCTTTTGCTTACATTGGTGACAGCCACCTTGGGGTTTTATTTTCCAATAAATCTTTATATCTTATCCAGACATTAAACAATGCTTTCCTGACAATATGATTTTTGAATGCTTTGTGTGCTTTAACCTTATCATACCATAAATATGCATGCCATCCAAATACATTGTTAAAACCTTCTAAATCCAAAATGTCTGTGTTTTCAAGAAGTAGCCATTCTTTCAACCAGCAAAAGCTGCTGATTCATAATAAAGTTTAAGGTCTGGCAGGGCAAATCCACCCCTTTCCTTTGCATCTGTTAGTATCTTAAATTTTATTCTGGGCTTTTTGCCCTGCCAGACAAATCTAGAAATATCTCTCTGCCACTTCTTAAAACAGTCCATCTTGTCCACAATTTGCAATGTCTGAAATAAAAACACATAAGCTATTTCCAGTGCTCCTCTGACCCGGAAGTGGGCAGCCGTGCAGCGCAGCGCAGCGCCAGTAAGAGCGGGTGGTGGCAGCGGGCGGCGGGGGTTGCCGCGGGCCGGATAAATGAGTCCCTCAGGCCTTATCCGGCCCGCGGGCCTTAGTTTGGGGATCCCTGTTCTAGAAGTTGCACCTATACAGCTGCAAATATAACGTTTTAAGTGTGTTTTAAGTGCATTATACAAATGTGAAACTAGATGGTAATGGTGAGCTTACAGCAAATTCAATATATATGTTTTAAACATAAAAAAAAACATTTTCACAGCATTTTTGTATGTGTCTAGATTCCACCCTACACTCAGTTGAATGGTGAGTACCCACACCTGATATCATTCTCAAAGAAGTAAACATATTGTGATGTATTGTTTGATTGCTGTCATTTTTGATGCTGTGGTCTGTCCCCCACCCCCCACCCAGATACAAACTGTTTTGGCTATTATATTAAGATAAATAGTGGGGTGTGAACTAAAACAAAAAAGCCTTATAAGCCTTAAAATTCTTTTGTTTATAAAATGACACCCGTTGAACTAATAAATTGAAAAGTTGCATGCACAATTTACCTGATATCTGCAAATTTCAAACGGATCTGATAAAAATGGCTGCAGGTACAGCAAATTAAGTGTGCTGAAAACAAATGCGCTTAGTTTACCACTCCCCCAAGTTTTTGAAGAGGTGTATAAACTACTGGCATAAAGTACTAGTGTATATTATTTAGGCGTGTTGAGGAAAGTGATTCTTCATTGGTTTGCGAACTTCTGAGTGGAGGTTCAAAAGTTATCATGGCTTTTCTGCCTCATTAAAGCCCATGTCAACAACTACTGGCAAAATAAGGGTCTCTAGGCAGTGATCAAAATTTGATGTGAGAATTCTGTCAGTACAGCAGTGCAGCTGTGTGGGACGCGGGTGGCTCTGTGGTCTATAGACGGCTTGGGGCTGGATAACTCCATACCTTTTAACATTTCTCCGATGAAAATAAGGACATCCTAAGGAAAATTGGGACATTCTGGGATCAAAGCAGAAACTGGAATGGCTTCTCTAAATCAGGAACGTCCCTGAAAAATAGGGACACTTGGAGGGTCTGTAATGTTACTTCCTCTGTGAGCTGTCAGCCTTCAGAAAGTTTCAAAGGGAGGCTGCAGTTTGAAGCTGCTGAGTTGGAAATAATTTGCAAACTTGGCACTATGAAACTCTCATCCAGTAGACACTGGGAGTGGCTAGCTCATTACAGAAGGTAATTGTTCTTGAAGTCTTTGATTACACTATTCATCTCACTACGCTTATTCATCACCGGCAGTTGCTAATTGTGAGCAGGTCACATCTACTTTGACTGGATCTTGTATTCCTTTAAATGGATCTTGCATTCATGTGTGTTTTGCATAGTAACATGATCCAAAACTACTGCTTCCTCTTGCATTGCTTCATCATATGGTGAGGTTGTCTTCACCCCACATATCCCTTTGAGGATCGTCAGAGCGCCTTTCCAGGAGGTGCGCTGGGGATCTCCACCAGGGACGTGCGGGGTGAAGCATCTTTGCCCCGCGCGTCCCTTTGGCGATCACTAGCTACTGTCATGACATTGAGTCATGACATCATGACTTCATGCCACACAGCCCTGACATTACAGGGCAGGGCACACTGGGCAGCCACAGTGTGGGGCCCAAGTTGGCGCCCCTGCCCCAGAGCCAACACATCACAAGGGGCTAGGCCTCAATGCTAGCAGCCTCTCCTCCTCCTCACTCACTCCCCAGCAGATGCTACGAGCTGCCCAAGAGAGGAGGCCGGCAGCAGAGGGCACAGAGAGGCCACAGGATGCTCTCTTGCTGCCGCTTAGGACGAGTGCTGGCTCATCTTCCTCCATAAGCTTGGAGGCAGCAGCACTGGCAGGGGAAATAGGGACATTCCGGGATCAAATCTGAAGTTGGGATGGCTTTCATATTTCCAGGACTGTCCCTTGGGAAATCGGGACACTTGGAGGAATAAAGTGGCATGAATGCTTGGAGAGTCTTGTTAGCTTTGAATATGGCCCAGAACAGATTATGCAAATATATAATAGGCCCCAGGGTTTGGTTTGGTCTGATAGGATATGATTGTGGTGTTGCTTCTTTGTAGTATTTGAAGCAGACTCAGTGAGAATAGCTCTGATGAAGTTTTAGAGGTATACTCAACGATTTGTTTATTCAACTAAAGGTAAGCTCAGAGGATTTTTTATAATGGTTTGGTTGTCTCACATTTTTTAGAATATAATCAGTAAAACAGAATGGCTGTAGCTCAGTGGAAGAGCATCTGCTTGGCTTGCAGAAGGCCCCAGGTACAATCCCCGACATCTCCAAAATAGTGCAGGGAATGGAGTTGCTATTGGTGAGAATAGGCAATGCTGAGCTGGGTGGCCAAATGGTTTGGTTCAGCAAAAAGCAGCTTCCGGTGTTCCTACAATACTATGTATTGCCTTGCGGGAGCGGGTGGCGCTGTGGTCTAAGCCACTGAGTCTCCAGGGCTTGCTGATCAGAAGGTTGGTGGTTCGAATCCACAGGGTGAGCTCCCGTTGCTTGGTCCCTGCAACCTAGCAGTTTGAAAGCACGTCAAAGTGCAAGTAGATAAATAGGTACCGCTCTGGCGGGAAGGTAAACGGAGTTTCCGTGCGCTGCTCTGGTTTGCCAGAAGCTGTTTAGTCATGCTGGCCACATGACCCGGAAAGCTGTCTGTGGACAAATGCCGGCTCCCTCAGCCTGAAAGCAAGATGAGCGCAGCAACCCCATAGTCGCCTTTGACTGGACTTAACCGCCAAGGGGTCTGTTACCTTTAAAAAAATGTATTGCCTAACCAGAATTATCCATAATCTATTGCTGAGAAAATCCAAGACTGTAGAATTAACTTTGTTTGGCCCAGGAGACTGGATTCTGTTCCCTGTGTTGACCTATTGAGGCTTGTTCAGGGGTCACACAGACATTCCCATCTCACCCCCAATGCTTTCATCTCACATTTCTAGGATAAAGCTCACTGCAGCAAAATCAGATCCCCTTGTCTGCTTGGCAAACACATTACTGTTTTGTAAATATGTATTTTTAAAAACTTTTTTTAAAAAGTCAGGCGCATTCAATTTGGTTTAATAGCTTTTGTAATTTACTTGATGCAGAAACATACGCCTTAAATATCTCTAAAATATTTTAAGAGAAGTGACAAAGCCAGACAGCTGGGCGTTCCATGGCTTGAAATGCTCCTTGCTCGTAGCATTTGTTGCAAAATATGCAAGTCTGGGTAGCTGGGGATCAGAACACGCTCTGCAGTTTTTCGTTCCCTGCTTCGTGAGCTTCGGGCCTCCTGATCTGCTAAATGAGCTTTGCTGATAAACAGGGTGTTACAGCCAGAGGCATAGCGTGGGTTGTCAGCACCCGGGGCAAGGCAAGTAATTTGCGCCCCCTAGAGTGAGTGAGCCAGGTAGGGGCAGAGAGCTGCGAGTGCGAGCGCCGCCCCCCAGATGTTGCGCCTGGTGCGGCCGGCCCCCCCTGCACCCCCCACACTACGCCACTGGTTACAGCACAATCCCGAGGCTCCGTTTTAACTGCAGCAATGAAGTAGTACAGGACATGCCAAAGTGGATAAATCTACAGCCAATATTTTGCAAATAGGGCAGAGCCTGGAAGATCTGCCCCACTCAGAAGAAGAAGAAGAAGAGTTTGGATTTGATATCCCACCTTTCACTCCCCTTCAGGAGTCTCAAAGTGGCTAACAATCTCCTTTCCCTTCCTCCCCCACAACAAACACTCTGTGAGGTGAGTGGGGCTGAGAGACTTCAAAGAAGTGTGACTGGCCCAAGGTCACCCAGCAGCTGCATGTGGAGGAGCGGGGACGCGAACCCGGTTCCCCAGATTACATGACGACCGCTCTTAACCACTACACCACACTGGCTCTGTGTTTAAAACTGTCAGTATCACCTTAGGTTGCATTGCTGTTTCTTGCTACTTGGGGCTAAACACCACTGAAGTGAATGGAGCGTGTTTTGGGTAGATGAGACTGTGCTCTCCAAATACAGTGGTACCTCGGGTTACATACGCTTCAGGTTACATACACTTCAGGTTACAGACTCCGCTAACCCAGAAATAGTACCTCGGGTTAAGAACTTTGCTTCAGGATGAGAACAGAAATCGTGCTCCGGCGGCGCGGCAGCAGCAGGAGGCTCCATTAGCTAAAGTGGTGCTTCAGGTTAAGAACAGTTTCCGGTTAAGAACGAACCTCCGGAACGAATTAAGTACTTAACCTGAGGTACCACTGTATTACAGAGATGCACAATTCTTGGGGCTCTTTTATTTTGGGGCCCTGCCCTATAAATCTGCCTTCCAGGAATCTCAATGCAGTGCCAATAAATATATCTGTCCTTCTTTCTCCCCACTTCCCTCAATGGTTCAGCCTCTGAAGGGGAGGGGGGAAAGCACTTTCTTCATCCCTGGATCTTGGATTACATGAAAACCTACCTGTTATTGACAACTGACCATGCCTTCTCATTTGCTACGTCATACTCGCATTTGCGTGGTGCTGAAATTTGAGAAGAAGAAGCCCTCATCAGTTCCAGCTAGGGGTCGGGGTGTGTGTGGATTAGATTCAGTTCTCATTTAAAGCCAAATCTATCAAATGTGCACTTTCTGAAACAATTTGAGAACCAAGGCACACCTTTCTGTCAAAATTCACACTTATCTGAATTTTGTGACGCAGTTCTCCAACCACTGTTTACAAAACAAAAAAGGTGTATATTAAGGTAAGGCATGCATAAAAATGAATAGGTTGCTAAAAGGAACGTTCAAAAATGCATTATATTATGGGAAATGCTTGTAAAAATGCGTATATTAGTCAAAACAGCATACAAAATGTGTTGATTAGGAGAAACACTAAAATGCTGCAGAATTTTCGTGAGGATTAAAGAGAGAGAGAGAGAGAGAGAGAAATTCTGCAGAAAGGTAGAGAACTGAATTTAAGATTGGAAAGATGAGAAACTGAGAGAGTCGGAACTGACAGATCTTTCCACCCCTAGGTACAAGCTTGACAGGGCTACTTCTGAAACATAGCAACACAGCTGAAGCTGAAACATTTAGGCTGATGATATGAGCAGCTACAGTTGAGCAGCAACTCATAAGGCTTGTTCACTGGTGTGTGAAAATCTGTTTAGATAAGCAAAACACAACTTGATCTAATCTCTAGATTTTACCTTAGAAATAACACAGTGTGCAATCAACAGAAAGCATCTTGAGAGGAAGTTGGAATATCAAATCTCTGTGTGTGCAGAAAATGTTCTATGGCATTATCTGTGAAGCAATACCTTTCCCTTAAATTAATTCCATTATTGCTAGCCTTCAGCAGTGTGGGGTCATGGTAGTGACTAGTCAGGTCTGGGTTTCCCACTCCACCACAAAAGAAAAGGTGCAAGCCAACTGTCTGGAGCCTGCCTACCTTATGGACTTCCAATTCTGCTCAACATGCAGCAGTCCATGGTTGGAAGGGCATATAATTAAATGGAGTGAATAATTCATTCTCCATACTTCGCGTCTGAATTATTTATCGCATTGCCATGCTAGTGCTCCATCACTTTCCTCCGATAGGTCCATGGATAATTGCAAAAGGGGAAAATAGCAACGCCAAAGAGGAAATAACAATGACTACTCAGAGTATACAGTATGAATAGAAAATGAACATGAGTTGGGCCCATTTCATCAGAGAGAAATTAAAGGCAGAGTTCTGACATGGTGCCATTTTTGCTTCCATCCCCTCCCCCCAACCCACAATAGATTAGCTAAAGAGGGGAGGAAGAGAAGGGAAAGGGAAATTACCCTCTGCTTTTCTACTTAGAAGGGAGTCCCATGGAATTCAGTGGGCTTTTACACCCCTGTAAATATGTACAGGACTGTAGTCTAAACAGATCTACAACTGAAACCAATTTTAGCAAACAGCACCCAGCATTCTGGTGTTTCTTCTTTCTACAGTGGTACCTCGGGTTAAGAACTTAATTCATTTTGGCGGTCTGTTCTTAACCTTAAACTGTTCTTAACCTGAGGTATCACTTTAGGTAATGGGGCCTCCCACTGCCACCGCGTGATTTCTGTTCTCACCCTGAAGCAAAGTTCTTAACCCGAGGTACTATTTCTGGGTTAGCGGAGTCTGTAATCTGAAGCGTCTGTAACCCGATGTACCACTGTACACAGAACCCGTCAATCATGATGGGAAGGGGAGGCACTTATGAAAATATAAAAGACAGAGATGAAGGCTGCTGTCTTACCCAACTGAGTTCTTCCTCCTTGGAAGATCATCCCTTTGCAGGTTCCTGTTGGGTTGTGCTTTTTTTTTTTTTTTAGCTTTCTCTAAATTGTACCTTTTACAATTAAACGTTTTCAATCCGTTGCGCACTGTCCTTCCCTACCTTCCCTGTTTGTTTGGGCATACTCATTTGCATTATATAACTGAGAGGTATTAGTTAGTATTGGTCAGATCTCTATGAATCTCTGTCTTTGTGCCTTTTACAGACTCTTCTGTCTGTTTGAAATTTGATAGGTCTGCTCCTTTGGAGGAAGAGCAGAATGTGTAAAAATTGCATGTCCATTGGAAATACTGAAGTTACAGATAGCAGAAAAATTGTCTCTCATGGAAAGCGATGGGAAATGAAAATCAATGGGAATAATGAAAAAGAATGAAATAATGATGGGAACAACTGTGATTTTAATGACCCACCGAACCAATAAGTTTTTCATAACAACAGCAAATGCAGTAAAAAAAATGAAAGGGGAGGGGAATCATTGCATGCCCTTATCCGAATGGAGACCCGGGGATATGATTGTGCAGACGCCTAAACATTTTCTTAACAGTTGCTTTCGCAACACTTCCAGCGGCTATCACTTTCAGGACAGGATTTTGAGAGAGAAGCCCAGAGCTCCCTGCCCCGTATTTCAAAGGAAGTGTGGGAGCACACATTACCATCTAAAGAGGGATTGTTCTGATGATAAGAGCATTAAATACAGAATCTGAAATTGCCAAACTGCGCCACTGATCATTTTAGCACTGCATTGTTGGGCATGTTGATTTGCATTACGAAGTGCAATTATGCAACTGCAAATTGCTCCTAATGTGCAAACAATTCTAGCTGTCACAACTTTAAAAGTGACATCGTTTATTTACCATCAAATTGCAGAGAGAAGAGCCTCTCCTGTTCCCATTGCTTTATTCCTAGAGTTGGGATAGATGTTAGATTCTTAGTTCAAGGGATTTCATATTTTCCTGCTTGATTTCTATGAAAAAATCAGTGAGCCAAAGAGTTTGAAAACAAACAGAGAGAAGAGTTCCCCAATATCC